GCCCTGGCTATCTCCTGATCAGCTGCAGGTTTTGCCACCAAGTCCATGAAGAACAACTATGTCCTCTCTCTGAGCCTCAGTTTCTCCATTTGGGAAATCAGACCACAGAATAAAAAACATGGTGGTGTTGGGCAAAAGGGAAAAAGCTGTATAATTTCAAGGTGGTGGTATTTCTTCTCGTCCTTTCACAAGTAGAAAGGACTAACATTTGTCAGGTTCTCCAGGAGCCAGGCATTGAGCTAAGTGCTGTTCGCAGCTGTCTTGTCCCATCTCAACAGCCTCGTGCGATCGTCATCCCCATGTCACAGGTGAGGACAGCGAGGCTCCCCAGGATAAGCGGCTTGCACAAGGTCACACAGCTGGCGTGGTGGTGTTAGGATTGGTATGCAAGGAGTCAGGCTGCAGTGCGCATCTGGGTCTTGAATGGTCCCTGGCTCAGCTGTGAAGGAAAGGAGGAGACGAAAGACACAGAGGATGAGGGACCCGGGCCGTGAGCGTAACTACAGGGCCTGGGACCTGGGACCCACTCCGGCCAGCTCCCCGCCCAGGAGAGTCACGACCCCCTTCCCTGCCCCCAGCTTTTCTCTGTGACAGCCTGTCCTTGAAAGGAGAGTCCCCTCCAGTCTTGGGATCCCTTCTCTCCGTGGCAGACTTGTTACGAGAGGGAGGTGACCGAGCAGTGGCCATGACGATGACACTTTCTCTGGCCTCCTATGTCGGTCGGTCCCACTTCAGCCCAGACAAACCCAGCCACAACCAGCCTGAAAGAGATGGAGATGGGAACTTCTGCCCAAGAAATAACAAAACCTCCTGCTCCCTGCTCCTGACATACATTCTTGCAAAGATTACTATTAATAGAAGCAAAAAAGATGTAGTGCATTTCCTCTGGAGACTAAAGAATTGATGACAAAATGAGATTCATCCTTCTCTCTAGTTAAGTCCCCATTCCCAAGGATTTACATCGGTCTTGATTCACTTCCTCCTTTGTGAATTCTGCGAGTGTGGACTGAGTGCCTCCCGTGGGCAGAGCACTGTGCTAGGCGAGTACAGCAGAGGAGCCCCCTGCCCACACAGAGCCTGCGTCCAGGGGGGCACAGCGGGGCTGGTGAGGACTCTTATGCTACAAGTGACGGGAAATTATCTTAAACTGGCTGTAGCCAAGAAAAAGGGGCAGGGTGGGCTGTCTTCAGCATAACTGGTTCCAGGTACTGAAACAGGTGTCTCCCTCCCTCTCCTTGGCGCGGTGCTGGCTGCGTTCACAGGCAGGTCCGCCCTCACCGTGTGGTGGCAGAGGTGGCCACTGGTGACCGCAATCCATTGTCCCCTTTACTCTCCATCAAAGAGAAAAGTGTGTGGCCATCTGTCACATCAAGCCCCAGCATGCACGGCGACCATCAAAAGTACCCCCTGACCCTACCTTACACCAGCTTCGGAGCCCAGGAGGCTGGGGTGTCCCAGGAGGAGTGGTTGGGAGGACAGTCCCCAGAAGAGAGCAGGTACACTGGACAGGCAAAAACAAGAGCTGCCCAGTGCAGGGAAATAAGACCTGGGCCATAACCCCATGGATAATTAATATTGCACTCTTGGTGAAAGCAGCGATGCAAGGTGCTATGTGTAGGTAGAAAAGGGTGAGAAGCTGCTGAGGAGGTGACAGTTAAGGGGACCTGAAGGATGAGTAGGAGGTAGCCAGGCACAGGGTGGGGCAGGCAGAGGGCGGAGCCTATGGGCAGGGCCCGGCCCTCGGAGGAAGGGGCGTGGTGAGCAAGGGGTGAGTGGGTGAGATGAGAGTGGGAGACGCACCTGGCCTGCACCAGCAAACACCCTGGGGCGTGTTGACTGCTTGTGTATGTTGCATTGTGTGTGGCCAGAGGGCATCCTGAGAGTTGGGGTGGCCTGCACTGGGGTGCTCCCAAGGACTCTGGAGCCGGCAGCAGCTTTAGCTGCAAAGGGTGTCTGTGTCTCTGAGGGTAGCGCATCATATCCTGGGCAGGCAAGCCATGGAGCAAACTAGCTGCCCAAAGCCTCCAGACATCCCAGGAATCTGAGGGTATTCTGGATGCCTCAGACCACAACAGATCAAGGTCACTCTGGTCCCTCGGGAGCCTGCAGGCTGATGGCCAGCATGGTCAGGGCCAAAGAAACCAGAGGTCACAGCAAAAATAAGGATTTGATCATCCGGTTGCATAGAGGTAGTTTTCCCTGCCAGACAGAGCTAGAGACGCAGCCTTGTTAGCTAATGCGAGTTTAATACGGAGTCGAGGGGGCTGGATATCAGCCTGGTCAACTGCCCAGGAGACGTTCAAACACAGAGTAGGGTAAGGTGTCCCACCTGCTCAGCGCTGCTCCGCCACCCAAGGCAGAGGGCAGCCCAGCAGCGACGCGGGCGATATCCGCCAGACAACAGCATCGCTTCCACATCAATCACTTTGTATAAAGGAAGAGTTATTGTTATGGGATGCTGGCGCCTGATCGATATCTCCTGCTTTGAAAATAAACTTCTTGGCTTGGCCTTGACATTAATCTACCATCAGGAGCCCATTATCTCGAGACCAATGTTCTGTTCTATTGACTCGCTTGGGTTTTTTTTCTCCCCCAAGATCAGAACATAATTGCATTTCTCCAGGCAGCACTTCCACTAATTGCAGCCCTGCGCATCCCCTCTCGGGAAGCCCGGGACAGAGTAGTATCTGGGCTGGGGATGGAGACGGCAGGAGGAGATGGGGGACCAAGGACCCTCAGGTGCCAGGTGGAAGAGCGGCCCTTCTAGAACCCCCAAATTAATCAAGACACGAAGCCCGATGGCCAAACCCCATCGAGCAGTTCCCATTGGAAACGGGTTGCAGAAGTCCCCTCTCCTGCCCCTCATTCCACAAAGGAGAGAATATGGCAACAAGATTAATGCTAATGCCCCGATCCAGCTGCGTCCCACCGTGGCCACAGCCCCCTCACCCAGAGCCGTGCCGGCCTGCAGTCCACAGTTGGATTGTGTCATCTCCCTCACTGAAGACTTCCTGTGGCAACGCCTTACTCTGCCCCGCGAGACCCCCATGAGAGCCCCCGCCCGTCTCTCTTCTCTTTGCTCCCTCGGCTCCGGGCTCCGGCTTTCCGTGTGGAGTGACTGTGCCAAGCTTGGCCCTTCCCTGGGGACGTTACGCGCACTCTCTCTCCACCTGTTCTCTCGCTGTTACTTTTACCTTCTTGTCATTTCAGTCCCACCTCACTGATCCCCTCCCGTGAGGCTTTCCCTGCCTGGCGAGCGTAAGGTAGCATCCCTGCATCCACTAGAGTCCATCGGAGGCCTTGCTTTGCCTTCCTTGCACCGCACGATGCCGCCTGAAACCTCTTGCTGTGTCAGTTACCTAGTGCCACAGGAAAGAACTACCCCCCAACATCCATCTTAACATGATAAGCAATTCTCTCCCAGTTTCTCTAGTCTGGGGATTTGGGAGTGGCTTAGCTCGATAGTTCCTGCTTGAGTCTAGGGTGAGGTTACAGTGAAGATACAAGCAGCGCCGCCGTCACCTGCAGGCTTGCCTGGGACTAGCACAGCGCTTCCGACATGGCTGGCGGGTGAGTGCCGTTGGCGCCAGGCCTCAGCCATCGCCACGTGGACCTGTCCGTAGCGCTGCTTGAGTGTCTTCAAACACGGCCTCGGCCGCCCCAAAGCAAGTGATCCCAGAGAGAAAGGTGGAAGCCAGAGTGTCTTTATGACTGCCATTTCTGCAGTATCCTGTTGGTTACACAGGTCAGTCCTCGTGTGACTCATCTGGGAGGCACAAATACCAGGAGGTGAGGAACTTAGGAGCCATCTTGGCGGCTGGCCACCACACTCCTCTTCCATAAGAGCAGGGGCCTTGGCTAACTTGTTCAACACTCTGTGTCCCCAGCTCAGTGCTGGCACGTAGCAGGAACTCCACAAACACTGGCAAGTGTGTGAATGAATAATCGTATCTAGCACAACTGCACCAGTCTTGGGCTAAGCACTTTACATGCAGTGCCTCATGTCCCAGTCCCACCTCATCTAATCCTTTATAGGAAACTGAGTCTCAGAGAAGTGAAGTACCTTGATCAAAGTCGTAAAGTGGTAACTGGCTGAGCCAGGATTTGAACCCAGGTGTGCCGAGGGCCGAGGAAGTGAGAGTGAGCGCGTGCCTCGGTGAGTGAGAGTCAGTGTTGGTTGTGCTTGTTAACAATCCCAAGTTGCCATCAGACCAGCACACGGTCAAACCCAGGAGATCTTTGTGAGAGCAGGTAGCCCTCCCTGGGACGGGGACACGGGGAGAACCCTCAGATCCCACGGTGCAGCCACACCCCGCTCTCGGCTTTGCAAGCCAGACTGCAGAGAGGAGAGGACAAGGGAGGCTGATGGAACGGCTCGGGGCACCCAACAAGGGGCTTAAAGATCCAGGAGGAAACTCCAGAATCGAATGCCAGAGTCAGTAAATATTCAGAGCCTGTGTGCCACCCTATCCCCTCATACCCGTGGCTGATGTCACCATGCGATGCCCCTCGTCTTTCCCACCAGGCCCCGATGTCACCTTAGAATTCTTCTGAGCACCCAGAGGTTTAGAGCTCAGACTCCGGAGTCAGCTAAAACTGGGCTTAAATTCTGGCTCCACCACTTACTAACTCTGTGACCTTGGACAGGTGTCTTAGCTTCTCTGAGCCTCCATTTCAGCATCTGTGAAATGGAGCTATGCTGCTACCTACTTTACAGGTTATCCAATGAGGCTGAGGTGCCGTTGCGCTTGTGGCACTCATGGCCTAGTGTGTGGCACTCATGGCCTAGTGTGTGACACTGATGGGCACGCGCTGCTGTCGGCTGTTTTTACTGCAGCTGTTACTACTGTGTTTTCCCGTGTCGTTAGTTCTGTGATTGGGGCTTCAGTAAACGATCCAGGCTGATGCCTTCTCTGAATGCACTGAGGGACGCTGGCCTTTGAGGGGACGGTGAACTGGATGCAGAAATGTCACCTTCTCTCTCCCTTCCTGCCCTGCAGGTGTGGATGTGTGGGGGCCGCATGGAGGACATCCCCTGCTCCAGGGTGGGCCACATCTACAGGAAGTACGTGCCCTACAAGGTCCCCGCTGGAGTCAGCCTGGCCCGGGTAAGGTGGTGGCTTTCCTGGGGGTGTAGGGAGCGGGGGAGTTGGCCTTGGCCCACCAGCAGCACTGAGGCATCCGGGGCCCCAGGCTGGGGGATCACTAGGTGTGAGGATGTGTCTCCATTTCTCTTGGTGAAATCCAATTTAAAAGAACTTACTGAAAGCCCTACTTAACCACTTATTGGCTGTGTGACCTTGGGAGGGTTGCTTAACTCCTCTGAGCCTGTGTTTCCTCCTTTGTTTAAAGGGAGCTAATTCTTTCCAACTCTTAGCATTGCCAGGAGAATTAAGGAGATGATACAGTTTCCCAAAGTGTGATAGGTGACTTGTTTTTGGTGGGCGGCCTTGGGATTTTTTTTTTTTTCTTTTTTTTAGTTTATTTTGGTTAGAAATGAATGTGTATTAGTGTAGCAAATTGGTGATTTCACAGATATTACTTAGTTTAAAGCTAAAGTAGGTGCAAAGTTAGACCCAGGGTGATTTAAAGAAACATGTTAGATAAATATTAATACAGGTGGAGTGGTGTCTTTGGGAAAGCCTGAGTATTTAAAACTTCCTGGAGGGGAGGGGGAGTTAATAAATGTCTTTCTTTTCCCCCTACCCCCTACCCACTTTCACTGCCAAAAACTCTTGTGTGTCAAACGGTTGCACTGCCTTAAAGTGGTTTAGATCAATCACTGCTTGAATTAAACTGGCCACTGGCTACACATGGAAATCTGTTAGCCAGAGTTTTTTGGTTTTTGTGGAGGTTTTTTTGTATTAAAAGTCTTGGGGGAAAAAAATCATTCAAGGTGACCACAAAGGAAAAACGAAGAGGAGGGAGGGTCCCCAAAGAGTAAAGAGATTCTCAGGGAGGCTTGCGGGGGAAATTAGAAAGGTCACTGCACGGCTTTGCCTCCGCGGAGCCTGCCCCCGCCACCCCCAGGATACCCCGTGCTTGCCTGCTTGCTGTCGATCCACACCGCCCCTGCCCAGTCGCTGCCTCCCCCTCCTTCGTCACCTACCAGCCTTGACGTGCAGCACTGCAGCCCCTGGAACCTGGAGGAGCGTTGTCCTGTAACTTACAAAGCAAACTGAGAGGCTCAAAGAGGCCGCGCTGCTCTCCGTGCTCCCTCCGTGGTGCGAGCTGCGCTCGGGAAAGCGTCGTCGGCAGCTTTGGGGCCGCGTGCAAGAAAGGACAGCCGGCAGTGCCCTCTAGCGGCGGAAGTTTCTAACGACACCCGGACCAGCCATCCGCTCTTAGGACTGCGCCTACAGACGCGGGGGCCTGGGGGCTGGGTTCTAGATTCAGCTCCGAATCACGTGCTTCACAAGCATTATTGGCCATCCCTGAGAAAAGTTTTCCAGGCAGGAAAACAGCGCACAGGCTCGCAGTAAGCCCAAGACTCCGACTCCAATAGCTACACGGAATCGTAGGCACACACTAACCCCAGAACAGGACCAACCCTAAAGCATCCTTTTCCTATCCAGAGCTGTCAATTTCTAAGGCCCACCTGATAGAGAAACACTACTACCTCCTGTTTATTGAGCCATGGATGAACTCCGTGGATAAGAGCTAACTGTAGTAACACTTATGAAAACTTGCTTTGAGTCAGGTATCCTGCAAAGCATCCTATTTATCTCACTTAATTCCCACTATTTTTAATCCCCATTTTAGGGATGAGGAAAGTGAAACAAGAAGTCGTTAAGTAACTAGAGCCAGAGTTCAAACCCTGGCACATAGCACTTGTTCCTTAAATAGTGACTGCTGTGGTTAGTTATCAGTATTGGTATCAGCACCAATATTAACAATTAAGACTACAAAGTGTATTTCACTGTCTCATCTGAATTCTGTGTTTAGGCATTTCAGCTTCTTTTTTAGCTGTCTGTGCTGAACCAGTATCCTGTGTTAGATTACCAGTGGTAATCTAGGTGGTGCCCCATGCCTTCATCGAAGCTTCTTCCCCCTGAGTCCTGGGACTGTCAGGTCTGATTACGCATAGGTTCGCAGAACACCTGAATCAAGCAGTGGCCTTTTATTACAATATCTAACTACCCTTATTTAGTTGCAAATCATATTTAAAATGTTTGCTCGGTGTTTTAACAATGAAATCCTAAGGCTTCCAGAGCACTGCCTCCTGGATCATCGTTTTGATTGATCCGAGGGGAGATGCTCTAATTAATAATAGACCTAAGTGAGCCACGTGAATAGGAACACTGAAGTTGTGCAGATTCCAGAAGGACAAACAACCGGACAGCCATGAGGTAGCAGCAATTCAGGAAGGACACACTTTCCACCAGCTTGCCTGCCTCAAGAACAAGTAGACACTCTTATTTTATTTTACTTTTTACTAAAATTGCTAAAATCTTTCTTATCTCTGACTCTGGCAAAAGTGATCCTCCCACCTCGGCCTCCCAGAGTGCTAGGATTACAGTCGTGAGCCACCACACCCGGCCCAGCCTTGCTTTTTGGTTGGAGTGAACCTACAATCATTCCTTATTATCCCTGTGGCTTGAGCCGGTTAGACAGGGAGCCAAAGGACCCAGGTAGGCATACTGGGAAAAGGAGAGGAAACACTGTGTTTTAGAGTGTTCAGATACACAGGCTCTGTTAGGCCTTCCACTTCCTCGGGGCACAGTTTTTTTTTGTTTGTTTGTTTGTTTGTTTGTTTTTTGAGACAAAGTCTCACTGTGTTGCCCGGGCTACAGTGAGTGCCGTGGCGTTAGCCTAGCTCACAGCAACCTCAAACTCCTGGGCTCAAGCGATCCTACTGCCTAAGCCTCCCAAGTAGCTGGGACTACAGACATGCGCCACCATGCCTGGCTAATTTTTTTTATATAGTTTTAGTTGTCTGATTAATTTCTTTCTATTTTTAGTAGAGACAGGGTCTCGCTCTTGCTCAGGCTGGTCTCGAACTCCTGACCGCCCGCCTCGGCCTCCCAGAGTGCTGGGATTACAGGCGTGAGCCACCGCGCCCGGCCGGGGCACAGTTTTAAATTAAGCACAGCCTTTGCACTGCAGGGGCCTGGTGGGAAGAGCAGTGTTCCTGAGCGGTTTTCTAGCCCACTGTGGACTCTTCAGCACTCAGGAAGAGTTGGGTAGCAGCAAGCAAATTCAGTAGTTTCCTGGTCCCAAACTCAAAGCCAGCAAAATTGGGGAGCTGGTGAATTTGTCTCCAGTGCAGGGGGGCCCCCCTCATGTTGGTTCCCTTCCCCCTCACTCGGGAGCCAGCAAACTGTTTGTGTACGACCCCTGAGCTAAGAATAGTTTTTATCATACAATTTTAAATCTTTGCGGGGGATGAGGCGGGGAGGGAATCCAAAGAAGAAGATTTTGTGACACATGAACATCAAATTTCAGTGTCCGTGAGTGTGACTGGAACCCAGCCTCACTATTTATATGGCGTGCATGGCTGCTTTCTAGCTACATCAGCGTTGAGAGCATATGGTCTGCAAAGGCTGAGTAGTCACTAGCTGCCTCTTCACAGAAAACATGTAAACATTTGCTAGCCCTGCCTTACCTTCTGCTCCTACAGCGGCCCTTCCCACTGAGGTGCAAATGGATGATAACAGCTAAAAGTGCTAACCCCCCTTCACCCTCCAAATCAGAGAGGAAAATTTGATCGCAATAGGGAAAAAACCTCATGATAGAGGTAAAGCCTGAAGAGTTCAATGTGGGGATGGCGGGTAGTGTTCCTGGCAACATCCAGGGATTGAAGGACGATGTTCTGGAGCTGGAATTTCCCCTAACGCTCAAGTTGAGCCCTCAGGTGTCAGCTGGCAGAGGGTCTCACTGCGTAGTCTCCACGCTGCAGATGGAATGAGAAATCTTCACCACGATTACGTATAAGAATTCACTCTTCCCCAAGTTTGCTCACGAACAGGATGTTTCATCATCTGCCGCCTCTGCTTGCCAATAATGTGGTTGTCTTTTTCCTTTTTATTTTACTGATTATCCTTGTGCATCATAATAAAAGTAGCAGGAACCTTTATACCTCAAAGGATTATTAGAAATTCCAGCTGCTGGTGGAATTATACGTTTTGCTTGCAAATTATAATTTGTTTTTAACACCCAACTTGATCAGAACTCTTTTAGGGAAAATCACAGAAAGCCGTGTCAAACTGGCTTAAGCAAAGTACAGGCTCCTGTAAATGGAAAGTCCTGGGATAGCTCTGGCTTCAGACACAGCTGGATGCCAGGGCTGAAAGGAGGAATGTATTCCTGGATCTAGCCCTGAGCTCTGCTTCATTGTGGGTTGATTTCATCCTTGGACAGGCTTTCCCCATGTGGTGGCCATCTGGCCCAGCAGCTGCGGCTGGCATCTTACCCAGTAATCCAAGCAGAAACAGAGCAACTCTTCCCAATCGGTCCAGCAAAAATCCCAAGGCTAATGCCTAGTGGCTGTGACTGGCATGGCTTAGGTCACATGTCCGCTGCTGGCCAGTCCCAGTGTCCCACGGTGTCTTTATTCACATTATCGGGGCTGGGTCATGTACCTTTTACGTGAACTGACAGGGAGACAGGTGTGGCTCCCCAGGGGGAAATTAGTGGGAGGCTTTCACTAGAAAGGGATGGAAGATGGGCAGACAAAACAACAGCAGACTGTTTTTCAACTCTAAGTTGTAAAGTTCTTAAAACATACATGAATAATAAATAGAAATATAGGAGGCCTAAAAACATGGCAGGACTAGGATTTTTGATGCAACGTAAAATGAGAAAGGTGGACCTCGACCTGCCAGGACCCTTTGCACCCCACACTCTGGGAGAGACTGACCCTTCTCTCCACCCTCGTCTGCCCCCTCCAGAACCTCAAGCGAGTGGCGGAAGTGTGGATGGACGAGTATGCTGAGTACATTTACCAGCGCCGGCCCGAGTACCGCCACCTCTCCGCTGGGGACGTAGCCGCCCAGAAAAGGCTCCGCAGCTCCCTCAATTGCAAGAGTTTCAAGTGGTTTATGACCAAGATCGCCTGGGACCTACCCAAGTTCTACCCACCCGTGGAACCTCCAGCCGCAGCTTGGGGGGAGGTGAGTCTGCGGGGCAAGGCAGCCCCCTTTGTGAGGCCCCGTGCTAATGGCAAACGCGGACCCCTTGTTCACAAGGCGAGAAGAAAGTGCCCTGAAAGGTATGAATATGAAACGGTTTTCTTTCTTTCCCAGTCTCTCTCTAGCCTTGTCTTGGTGGTTTTTTATTTGCTATTTGGTGTTTTAAGTATAGAAAAATTAAAACTTTAAATTATTAGCATGAATTTTCACCTCTCATCTTTATATTATGCAGTGCTGGTTTTAAATGCAAATTAACGGCACGTAGCTCATGTTCAGAATAGGTGGAGTGACATGATCTGTATTTCATATTTCATGCATGTATAGGTATTAATATTTCTCACCAGAACAGTGGAAACACTGCACAAAACTAACTCAGCTGTTTTTATTTCGCTTCTTGATGATGTGTATTTCTGCCAACACTCTCTACTACCTTCCATTCACCGATGAGAAAGGAAGGGCCGAAAGGAAAAGGAAGTAAGGGCTGCCCTGTCCTTCCCTTTCCTGCATAAATGCTCGGCTAACACAGGGCAGAAAAGCCAATAAGAAAGGCTATGACAGGTCATTCCTGTGTCTTAGGATGTCATTGCCCTTCTTAGTGCACCCAAAGAAAGTTCTGGTTTGAAGGGAAAGTGTGGCCTCCCAGACCTGCCAATGCCGTAACACGCTTCCCTCGTACACGCTGGGGGTCTCTGTGCCCCTGGGGCATCGCAGTGCTCCGTGCCAAGGGGACAGAAGGGAGCAGCACACACCCCCTCTGCTCACACGCATGCTCCGTTGTCCCAGTGGAGCTGACTTAACAAAACACAGTTCCCGGATAAAATGTTTAAGAGTTTGGAGACAGCGACAGTGAGGCTTGAAACCAAGCCAGGCCCTCCTGAGCACATGTCGCAGCCCATGAAGCCCCTGCAGGCGCAGGCAGATCCGGCTCCCCCGGTGGATGCCACCGTCGGTCCTGGGTCTCCGCGCTGACGGGACCTACCCATTTATAGATGGATGTGGTGGGGCTTGGGGAGGAGCAGCGTAGGAGTTGGGTTTCCATCAGAAGCCCAATTTAAAGTAAAAAAGGGGGAATTTATTGCCTCACATAGGAGCCGGGCATAGCTGTGGCTTCAGACAGCCTGGCCCCAGGGGCTCAAGTGTTATCAGTCCTTTTGTTCTTTCCCTTTTGTGTTGGCCTCATGCTGAAGGTAGCAAGATGGCTTCTAGAAGCTTCAGGGTGACAAACCCCCAGCTTGGCCAACCCAGCAGAAAGAATGTGCCTCTTTCCCAATGCAGCCAGCAAAGGCACAGGAATCGAGTCTTATTCTTGGATCCTGCACCCATCACTGTGGCCATCGGGGAGGGGGGAAAGCAAGGGCAGGATGGATGCTCCGATTGGCTGCAGGGCGGGCGAGGAACAGGAGCCCCGTGGAAATTCAGGGTGTTGTCACCGGAGGAAGGAGAGAGGAACACCAGATGTGACCTGCTCAGATTCACAGAGCAAATCAGAGAGACCTTGCCTGACTCAGCTCTCTGGCGAGCCCCACCCAGCGCCACCACCAGTGTCTAGAAGAGGTGACGTGTTAACATCCCTCATGAAGCTCTTCACTTCGCTATGTTTATTGACTTCTTCCCCTGAGCTAGTTCAAGTCCCCCGAGAAGCAGGTGCCACAGTGGGATTAGATGTGCAACAGATCTGTCGCTGAGACGCCTGAGAGGGAAGATCAGGGGGTCAGGGGATACTGGGAGAGCTGCGAGGCCACGAGCCTGGCCTGCCCTCTGCGAAGGGTCAAGGGAAGGACGGAGGGCTGCGGCAGGAAGAGTCCTGCCCGTATTAGGCTCCAAGGTTAATGAAGAGTCCCCAGGCCAAGTCACCAGTCAGAGGAGTCCGGCATCTTTCAGGAACGGGCCAGCCGTGGTATCCAGTAACTGGCTGGGAGCTGCCCCAGGCAGACACGGGTTTGGATTCAGAACACAGCAGTGAGACTGTTCAACTCCCTGCAACACCACGTCCCCCCGCCCCTCAGACAGAACAGGAGTGATATCTGTAAGACAGGAACTATATGATGGACATCAAGCACCTAGCTCAGTGGCCCGCCCATAGTAAGTGCCCAATCAGTGTTTGTCACCTAAGCAGGTGAGCAGCCTCGGGCTTCAGACTCCCAACCCAGTGCTCTCCCACTACACACACCATCTTCATGGTTGAAGGGTAGGAGACCACCATTGTCCTTTGCATCTCAGTGGGTTTGGCAGGGATTCCTGCCACCTCTTGCCATTCACCTACCCTAAAAGGCAGAGAGAGTCTAAGACCCACAGCAAAGATTTCATGTCCTTTTCTAGGGGGTTCAAAGTATGGCTCCTGGACCACCTGCACCTGGGTCACCTGGAATGGGGGCAAAATTCAATTCCTGGGCCTTTTGGATCAAGTTGTCTGGGAATGGGGCCGGGGAGTTCTCCTTTAACAACTCCTCGCCTCCAGTCCCCCACCGCTAACCCCTGACTTTGCAAGCTCTTAACACAGCAGTGTTTGGAGGATCACTGTCTGCGGACTAAGTATTCCTTTATGGAGAGGCTCGAGGCACTTCCAGCAGCCCAGGGCAAGCTCTGTCAAGACGATTCAGAGCTTAGTCAGTCTAATGTCTCTGCCTTGGTTCCTCCCTCCCACCCCAGCAGGGGCCCAGTGGGTCCCTCGAGGTGCCTCACTGGTCCACGCCTTCCCTCTCTCCCTCCCAGATCCGCAATGTGGGCACGGGACTGTGTGCAGACACGAAGCACGGGGCTCTGGGCTCCCCGCTGAGGCTGGAGAGCTGCGTCCGGGGCCGCGGGGAGGCTGCCTGGAACAACGTGCAGGTAAGGGCCGCGCCTCAGGGACCGGCAGGGTCTCAGGGCCATCTGCAGCCTGGAGCGCTGGCATGCTCAGGGCTGGGAGGGAGAGGTGTGGATCAGTAATGAGACACAAAAAGTCAGCCCAGGGGAGGAGCAGTAAGAAGTTCCTCAACACCTTGGAAAGGGGATTCCTTCACATTGCAATAAAACCATTAGTCTGGACTGTTTTGGTTACAAATGATGGACACCAGCCGAAACGGCCACCAAAAAGAGGATTATTGGCTCATGTCACTGAAAAGCCTTGATGATGTCGTCTGGGTCTCCCCAGAGTCTGCTTCCCTCTCTGGGCTTCCTTCTCACGAGGTTCTGCCACGTGGTGGGGGATGTGACCATCCTCGGCAAAGCCCTGGGGCCCTCACACACGCACTTCCCGAGCTGATCACACAGCAGGGAGGAAGTCATCATACTCATGGCCCCGGGTCATATGTACATTCGTGGGACCTGGGGGTAGGGCAGGTAGGATTCAGAGGGCAGGCCAACCTTGCAACGGCATCCAGCTTTCTGTGGGCTCCTCCTCCAAGGCATAACCCCCCTGGTAAATAACCAAGCGTCCACGGATTCTCAGTCTGAGGATATGTTTTTATAGTTTCCTTACTGTGGATTTTCTGGCATTTTGGAAGTTTACACTGACATAAACCTTTGATGAGGGTGCTCTGCATGAATGACTTACGTGCTAGGGACAGGCAGAGGATTGCTTGAGCCTAGGAGTTTGAGGTTGCAGTGAGACCAGCTTGAGCAAGAGCAAGACCCCCTCTCTACAGAAAATAGAAAAGTTAGCTGGGCATGGTGGCACTCACCTGTAGTCCCAGCTACTCGGGAGGCTGAGGCAGGAGGATCGCTCAAGCCCAGGAGTTTGAGGTTGCTGTGAGCTATGATGACAACACTGCACTCTAGCCTGGGCAACCAAGTGAGACCCTGTCTCAAAAAAAAAAAAAGTTTTTAGAAGAAAACATAGGCAAAGATGTTTGTGAGCTTGGATTAAGCAAATGATTTCTTAGATAAAACACTAAAAACCCAATCCATGAAAGAAAAATATTGATGAATTAGACTTCTTCAAAATGAAAAACTTCTGGTCTTTAAAAGATACTGTTGAGAAAATAAAAAGGCAAGCCACAGACTGGGAGAAAATGTTTGTAAAGTATGTGTCTGATAAAGGACTTGTATCTAGAATATAGAAAAACTTTCAAAACTCAATAATTTAAAAAAAAAATTTTAAAGGCAAAAGGTTTGTCCAGATACTTTAGCAAAGAAGGTAGGTATATCAATGGCAAATAAACATTTAAAATGCTTAACTTCATTAGTTATTAGACAAATGGAAATTACAATTACAGTGAAATAACCACCACACACCTATTAAAAAGACTGACCACACCAAAGCTGGCCAGGATGTGGGGAACTGGAACTACACACTGCAGGTGGAAATGAGAATGGTACAGCCACTTTGGAAAACAGTTTGGCGGTTTCGTAGTAAGGCAACCATTGATCTTTCATATGAGCCAGCTGTTCCGCTCCTAGATATTTATCCGAGAGAAAAGAAAACGTAGGTCCATACAAAGACTTGTCCACACATGTCCATAAGCTTTATTTGTAATAGCCCAAAACTGGAAACAACCCAAATGTCCCAGAGCAGGTGAATGGAGTCCCAATTCAGCAGTAACAAGTGAACTCTCGGTAAATGCTGTTATAACATGGGTGAATCGCAACAAAATCATGTTGAGTGAAAGAAACCAGACAAAAGAGAATACTGCTGTATGATTCCTTTTACATAAAATTCTAGAAAATTGCAAACTAATCTCTAGCAACAGAAAGCACATCAGTGGCTGCCTTGGAGTAGAGGGACCAGTAGGAAGAGATTACAAAGGATCATGGAGATACTTTGTGGGGTGATGGGCATGTTCATTACCTTGATTGATGATGGTGTCACAGGCCTATCCACGCCAAAATGTATCAAATTGTACACTTTAAATGTGTGCAATTTATTGTACACCAATTATTCTTCGGTAAAGCTGCTGGGAAGGAAAAAAAAAAGTTTATCAACCAAATGCAACATGTGGACCCGGTTAGGATTCTGATTCAAACAAACTAACTGTGAAGAGAAATGGATAAGGCATTTCGAGAACACCTGAACTCTGGATATTTGATGACATGGAGAACTTTGTGGTAACTTTTAATTGTTACAGTAACACTTACTGAAGTATCTATACCTGACGTGATAGGATATCTGGGATTTGCTTCAAAATAATGTCGGGGTGTGGATAGTGAAGGGGGTAGAGCTATAAAAAGATTGGCTGTGAGTTGGTAACTTTTGAAGCCAAGTGATTAGAATAAGAGGCACCGTCAATACAGTATTTTTTGGACCTCTGTGTTTAAAGTGTTCCATAATTTAAAAAAAAAATGGAGGAAAAAATGGGGAACAGCTTTGCTGTCCCTATCGTGATGTCTCTATGTGCACAGGTGTTCACCTTCACCTGGAGGGAGGACATCCGGCCTGGAGACCCCCAGCACACCAAGAAGTTCTGCTTTGACGCCGTCTCCCACACCAGCCCGGTCACGCTCTACGACTGTCACAGCATGAAGGGCAACCAGCTGTGGAAATACCGCAAAGTAAGACGGGACACTGGCGGGAGCAGGGAAACCCGCTTGATTTCTTTTTTTCTTTTTTTTTTTTTTTTTTTTGAGACAGAGTCTCACTCTTTTGCCCGGGCTAGAGTGAGTGCCGTGGCGTCAGCCTAGCTCACAGCAACCTCAAACTCCTTGGGCTCAAGCGATCCTCCTGCCTCAGCCTCCCGAGTAGCTGGGACTACAGGCATGTGCCACCATGCCTGGCTAATTTTTTCTGTATGTTTTTAGTTGTCCGATTAATTTCTTTCTAATTTTATTAGAGACGAGGTCTTGCTCTTGCTCAGGCTGGTCTCGAACTCCTGAGCTCAAACAATCCGCCCGCCTCGGCCTCCCAGAGAGCTAGGGTTACAGGCGTGAGCCACCGCACCCGGCTCTGATTTCTTTTTTTTAAGCGATGCGGGGCCTCACTCCTTCTCCCAGCGGAGCCCACCCGCCCATTCATTTGTTCCACAGACGTGCCATGCCCGATGTCCCAGTCATTCAAGAGAAGTCAGAAATCCAGACTTTTATGTGAAATCTCCAAATCTTAGACATTGGCAACTGAGTCCACTTAAAAAGAAAAGCACACACACATACCATAAAGACCGAGGAAATTTGACTGGAGGCGGGCAATGTCTGGGGCCCAGGCCTGGGAGAGGCATGTGTCACTCCTGTCCACGTGCCAGCGGGCAGCCCCAGTCACGTAGAAACACCAGCTGCCAGGGGGGCTGGACAGCATCTGGCTGCGTGCTCAGGTCTGGGGCAGCTAGCCAGTCACTTCCCTGCTGCTGCCATGCTGCTGCCGTTTGACTGGTCCCGTCCCCAGTGCTGCCCAGCTGATCACTTCCCTGTTTTTATAGGACAAGACCCTGTACCACCCCGTCAGTGGCAGCTGCGTGGACTGCAGTGAAAGTGACCACAGGATCTTCATGAACGCCTGCAACCCCTCCTCTCTCACCCAGCAGTGGCTGTTTGAACACACCAACTCAACAGTCTTGGAAAAATTCAATAGAAACTGAGCCTCATGTCCCCTTGGTAGGCCCAGCGGGTCCCGTCCGGCACTCACTGCTGCCTTCCTCTCCCGAGGCGGGCAAGGCCTGTGTGGGCAGCTTGTGTAAAAGGCGCCAGCCACGCGGTTCGGGGTGAGCTGGAGCAAGGGGTCTGCCTGGTCCTCGAGCCCCTGAGTTGTGGGGACGGTGTGGAGAGCAGACCCCACAAGAGGCCCTGCAGAGAGCAGAGCCTGCTGTAGTCCTGCTGGCAGCCTTTTCAACTTTGTCACCAGGTCCCCTGGAGCATCATTTGGGAGAATAATAGCAGGGTAGCTCTAGGCCACCCAAAAGTGAGTCCTGCAAGGTTGCCCAGCCATCAGGTCATTCTCCCATGTGACGGTGCTTTAGAAAGAAAGGCAAAATTTGCCTGTTTGGGGCAGCTTTTAGCACCAACGCCGCCATCTACAGCAGAAGGGAAAGAAGTCCCCCCGGGCCTTTAGTTTCTGCTGTCTTGGGGGTGACCGCAGCTACTGCCCAGCTTCTGTTTTCAGTCACTGCCCCAGATGATTGAGTCAAAGGCCATACCCGGGGTCCTCAGAGTGTTCGGTACTGAATGCTGCCAGCTGCCAGGTCAGAGAGGAACCCCTCTGACATTCCTTTGCAGCCGTGGGCATCCAGGATAGCTCTCCCTGCTCTCTGGGTATTTGAAATGCCCGTTTTAGTGCTCTCCAGACACAAGGACAGCCCAGCCACCAGCTTTTCAGGGCTGTGTTGCAGATGGCCTTGAGCCCATGGAAAAGGCCAAGTAGAAGACCTCCAAACTAGAAATGCCGGCTCAACTTCCCTCGTCCCTGCTTCCATTTCCCTCTCTCGCTCCCAAGCAATTACCTGCCTCGCGAGAAGAAGAGAGGGGCCACGAGGTGCTCACCCCACAGCGTCTGGAGGCCTCCAGGATCAACTGTGGGCAAGATGCCTAGCCTCTGACCTCATCGTGGTTCTAGTTCTCACCCAGAACTCCAGAATTCTTGAAGGACTCTGTAATTCATCGTAAACTAGAATGCGACATAGGATTCTGGTATTCCAGCATCTGACATGGATTTCTAGAATGCTGTGATTAAAGCAGCCAGCCAGGTATGGTACAACCAAGGCAGCCCCTCCCCACCCCGCCCAGCCTAGAGACAATCCACGAAATCCAAAGTTGGTGGTGTGTCGGGGGTGCGGGGAGCAGGGAGCCCTGTGTCCATCAGCTCATACCAGAGGCTTTGGTACCATGTGGTCCTCAGCAAAGACCTGAAGCCAGGGAACCTTCCACCATCATCACAGCTGCAGTCTCATTTGCAATAGAGAAAAGAACCTGATGTGCCATGGCCAGACCTACACCCAGCTTCATGCCAGCCCTTGGTGTTTACCTTCTGCTTTGTTAATTACCCGTCAGGCTCCCAGAGGGCTTCCAGACTAACAGGAAGCATTTCTGTAACCAACCCGCCACCCACTGATTCAGAAATGGAAATCACATTCCACAACCTATGGCTTCCACCAGCTAGCCGAGGAAATACTTGAACTCAGCATTCCAATTAAAGTTGGGTCTCTTGATTGTGTCATTTACCAATTAAATAACTGAGACATAAGTCTGGGAAGAGAGCCACAAATCTGCCTTTGAGATGCTGGCGGATCTCAAGGCCATCAATTATCGGGGGGAGGAGGGAGGGATAAACACTCCCAGCCATCGCCACCCGGAGCGAACGTGTGTAGCTGGCAAAGGATCACGTCTTCTTCTGCCCCAGCACAAGCCCTGCTCTGGCCACCTGTCCATGAGAGAGGCGGCCCCCGCGCTTGCAAAGCTTGCTTGCTCATCCCTGTTGTCCTTTTCCGAACGAGTGCTATATCTTTAGAAGTGGCCCTCTACAGAAAGGAGCCAAAAGATGAGGCCCCTTCTAGAATCTAGGATAACAAGAGTGTTGGCAGTTTGGGGAGTTAAAATTAAGATTTACCATCAGAGAGCAATGCAGCATCATTAAAATAAAAACTGTGCCTTTTAAAAAGAAAAATGCAAATGTACAGCAAATCCCTAAACTTGAACCATTTCCTAGTGCCTTGCTAGACAAACATAAAGGGGCAGGGTTGGGGGGAGGGCAACATTTTTGGTGGTGTGTGCGGTTCCTGTTGGTTGAGTGTGTGTTTCTTAATGTCTAATTTCAAGCAGGAGACGGTGGGCCTCTAGGCAAGATCTGACACTGAGACGCCCCCCAGAGGCCAGAGTTGCTCCCGTCAGTGCAAGTCATGCTCCAGATGAAAAAGGCAGCTGAGCCCCTAGTGTAGCCCTTGGTCTAGAAGGGCCTCTGCAGCCCCTGAGAGAAGGCCTTGCATTACCTCACTGGGTCCTGTTCGGGGGCCATGCCTGTGGTCCCCATCCCAACCCCCACACAGAGTGCTTGTCCTGGGATTCAGGGGTGCAGAGCACTGGCTGGGCTTCCGAATAGTCCCACTCCAGGTGGGTGACAGTGTTATCAGCAAGGCCAGGGTTCCTGCGGAAAGCAGGAGCAGCTGCGAGCTGTCCTCAGCCTTCCCTTTCCCACCCTGTGGCTCTCCTTTCCAGTCTGGTTTCACACCCTGAACAGGGACGACATGTCCTGCGAGCACTGTGGCATTAGCAATCGCTGAGCCCGCATCAACAGGTCCCGGGACTTGTCGAAGTGTGTAATAGGGGAAGGGAGGACAGCACTGCACTGGCTCAATTTCACTGACCAACTGCCTAATTGCTCTTACTAAGCCACTCATTGTTTTGGCCTTGTTTTTGAAAAGCACCTGTCTCCAGGATTCAGGTTTCGGCTCACATCCTCAGCTGATACTCAATAAAACTCAGCCAGGAGCCGATGGGGATGCCAACAGCCAGGTGATGGGTGAGGATGTGGCCTCTTTTCCTCTCACGCCTTTATTCAAGGATGCGGTCACAAAAAAAGGTGTAGCTAGAAAGGATAGCGACCCTGTGGTCCACCAGCAGCCTTTCAGAAGGGGGACTGTGGAAACAATTTGGAGTGCAAAGAGTGTCTTTGCTGTAAGTACGAGGTCTCTGCTGTAAGTACGTGGCTAAATATGCAGGCGCATGCGTGGAAAGCCATCCCATTTTCTGCTTCCAGTTGGAGCCTTCAACTTTGAAAACAGTCCAGGAACTGTTGATTCTTCCCTTTAGGAAAAAAATAGCTGAGAGGCAGAGGACGGTTCATCTGCAGAAGGGATCTGATTGCGGGGGAGGGTGACATTAGGTCCAGGGGAGAAAGAGCAGTTTTTGCTGAAGATGTAGCATATGGATTTCCAAACTCTACCTTACAGTCATTTTTCAAACCTCCAACCTATTGAATTTCTTTTTCTCCTTAAGAAACAGGCGATGTCTTTGAAAAGCGCTCCATATTTCTCTCTGAGCAGCTCCATTTTTCTAGTCTCTGGATTCTCAGAAGAGTGAGTGGCAAAGCACTTTACAGTAGGAACTGAGAAATCCAGATTCCTTGCTTCAGCGATACCTAGATTGTACAGATTGGGTAATCTTTTATAATTCCTAGGAGGCGATGCATTTTTAATGTTTTCTGAAGATTTGTAAGTGTGGGTAAGGGTCAAGTTCTATTCTGGAAGTCTTTATTGCTTTCAACTAATAGAAAGAGCCAAGTAATACTTTAGTTCAAACTTGATCTCGAGCCAAGGCCCATTGCCACCTCTCGGGTAGGTGCTGGACCTACATACCAAGTGACAAGGCCATCTTAACATCTGCTTCCAAAATGGCTTTGATTCAGCTGTGCCAGACAACAGAGTCAGGCCCCGGCTCTGTTAATGGCTTGAAGACTAGGATCCCACAGAGTGTGCAGGTAGGGAATATTTGGGAAGTCAGACTGGGACTCTATAGAGAAAGTTCAAGATCACCAAACTCTTCTCCTGCCTGGAAAAGTGAGCCTTTGTGAAGAACTGACTTGCCATGTACAATTGTGATTGTGATTGTTGAGTAAACCTCCAGAATTTCTCTAAAGTAGTCTCTGGCTTATTCCTTCTCATGTGTCATTCTCCTTCCCGTAATTCCCCACATATTCACTGAGCACCCACTCAGCACCCAGGCACTCTCCTGGGTACTAAACAAATTCCCAACAACCATCTTCCTAGATGGGAAGGCAGACCTAAGACAACTTAGATGATTTTAGATGCAAATAGGGCTATGAAAGATATAAAACAATTATATTTTAGAAAGTGGGGTGGGGTCTACATTGGCCAGAATGGTCAGAGAATGCATCTCTGTGAGAGCTGAAAGACATGAGGGAGTGTGAACTAAGAAGTGATGTCAGGGAAGAGTTCCAGGAAGAGAGAACAGCTAGTGCAAAGGCCCTGTGGTAGGAAGGAGTCTGTTGGAGAGGCAGAAGGAGGTGAGCTCGAAGGGTTAGGTGGGCTAGCTTGAAAAGGCTCTTAAAGAGGAACGGAGGATTTTAGGCAGGCAGTGACCATCTGAAATGAGTGTAATTCATTTCTGATGCTCACCCATCAGCCACAAGTACTTGCTTGCCAAAGCATTTTGATGCTGTTGGGTATTAGGTTCATGTAATACCATGTGATGGAAAGAGCACTGACTGGCCCAGCTCTGAAAAAAAAAAATCCTAAGTGAAATCTGTGCAAATGCTGCCTCCAACTAAGCCTCAGTTTTCCACAGTAAAATGGCAAGTTTTTGGATGACGCTTCCAGCACCACCCATGCATGGCCATACGGTTGAGCCTTGGCGGGGAGGCTGCAGGTGACCATTAGCAAAAGCTGCCCCCTGGTGCTGTCACTGAGGGCCCAGAGGGTGCTGTGGACTATGGCCCGGAGAAGGCTGAATCTGGGACATGTGGCAGGTTTGAGCCCTAGAATGAGAAAGTCTTCTTAAAAGTCCTCAGTGCCTCAGAATACTGTTCCATATTCTTAATTTTGCATATAAAACTGAGACCCAGAGAAGCCCCTGACCCAATGGTCAGTGACACAGTGCAGGTTTTTAGTATCCCTACTCCCATATTATTCTCACACAATATCACCTTAACAGCTTTGTAGACATGTGAGGAGATTCCATTTTAAAGCCCTTTGTACCTGTTGTCCCCCAGACTCTCAGAAGAATTCCATGAAGTAGGCAAGATAAAAATATTAGCTATTCATTCAGTAAAAATGTATCAAGTACCTACTATATTGCAGGCAGTCTTCTAGAAATTAAAACATTGTGCAAGGATGAGCCAAAAGAGCCACACTCTCTGCCCTCATGGCACTTATGATCTAGATAAAGATTAGAGTAGAACTCAGTTAAAGGGATCAGAAAAAAAATAGAAAAAAATCAATGAAACCAAGAGTTTGTTCTTTGAACAGATCTACAAAATAGACAAACTTTCAGCTAGACTGTGACCAAGAAAAAATAAGTTGTATTTTTT